CCCGACGGAGGGGGAGGGCACGGAGGTGGGAAGGGAAGCGGGGGGCAGGCCGGGTGATTCCTCCGCGGCCCGGGTGAGGCGGGTGGCGGTGACCGTCCTCACCCGTGCCACATTCGGCACTTGACAGACATTTGGGCTGGAAAAGCTGCAGGGCTCTAAGAGTGAATTTGGCAGCAGCCTGCTGCACTAGGCGAAGGATGCTGCTCTTGCTGGGGTGAGGGGCGACATGGCGATATCTGTACGATGTGCTGGCTTGCGATAAGCGCCGAAGCACCAGTTTTGCCAGATGGGGATTCCCAGAACCCCTGCACTGCACCACCTTTGCCCAGAAAACGGGGGCTTCTGAATTGGGAGCGTTTGTCTGCCTGTGTCCCTCCTCCCTGCCATCCATCACCTCGCCGGTGTCCATCGCCTCGCCATCATCCGTCGCCTCACCAGCGTCCGTCACTTTGCCAGCATCCCAGCGCCAGCCCCCGAGGGACCGTAACACCTCTCACTGCACTGGATATTCAGGCTGATATTAATTTATCCAGGCAGATACTAATTTATCCAGTTCCACGATCAAAAGGTTTGTGCGACTCTGCTGCCCCCTACAGAAATAGGGATGGGAGAGTTGGGGAGTGAATACTCTTGACGTGGATTTTTGGGTTTCTTCCCTTTTCAAACATTCATCGTGTGTGTAGGGCCCCAGTAATTCCCAGCTGGATAATTGAGTGTCTTTCTAAATAAGTGGTCCCTCAAACACTTTTCTGGTGGTGGTCGTCTTCTTTAGACACCTTCTTTTCTTTTAGAAAGAGGCTTGATTTGAAATGCTTGTCACACACCCATGTCCGTATACGTATTCCTGTACCGCAGAAACGGGTGGATATGTTGGGTCTTTGAGCCTTTCTGCTCAAGTCTTGTTTTCAAATGAGGCAATGTGTGCAGCTAAAACACAGTGTTTTGCATTTGATAACAAACGTGAAAAGTGAGTAAGACTATGATGGTGTCAGGTGTTCTCTTGTGATGCTGCTCCACTGGCTCAGTCCTGTACCACATCATCTTCATTTGGTGCTTCTGTGAGCCAGGGCTAGAAGTCAAACAGAAACTGGCCTGAATGCTTCTTACATTTTAAGTTCCTCACATCTACATATTTTAATTTTTTTCTTTGCCTTTTGCCTCTTTCAGCAATTCCAGAGAGAACTTTGATGAGCAAAGGTGACATCTGCAGCTCTATTTCTGGCGATCCAATCTCAGACTCCAGCCACTCTTAACATTAGTTTTGGCAAAGGGGAGGAAAAAAGGAAAGATCAGTTCTGTGTAAAGCTTTACACTTGTGAGAAGCGTGTTGTTACACTCTTAAGGACAAAAAGTTCTGTGCACTAGGCTTTTCCCAGAACCAAGGGCAGATCCTGATTTAAATCCTTAGAATAGGTGAAGATTTTATGCTAAGACAGGAGTGTATTTCATTCTCAGACTTACATTGTGCTTGCAGAAAACTTACAGCTGTGCTTGTGTATTTTTATATGCCCTGATTCTTTTCTGTTGAAGATTTTTTTTTCTTCTCTTTAACAGATCAGCCTGTGGAGGTGAAGGCCAATCTCTTGCAAAGTCAGTGGTTCCTGACATGCTGTGCCTGGTGTATTTTTAAAAAGTACTGCCCAGAAAGGTAAACGCAGGAGTGGTTTCTTGGTCGCATCCTTAGAAAATTCTTGAGTTCAATACAAAAGGTACAGATTCTAACAGCTGGGCTGTATTTTAAAACTGTTGTCAGAACTCATTGGATGTAAACGAAGGACAGCAGGGTACCAGAGGAACCCTGCCTGAATATCTTTAACTTAGAGCCTTTAAGTCACAACCTTGATGTCCCAGCGAAAGTGCTTTCATTTTAAAATGTGGCATCTTCAACAGTGTCCGATAATAATTTCCTTTTCTGCAAAATTGTGTAGGTGTTGATAAAAGCAATCAAAAGAAGAGAACTCCTTTCACAGTAAAAGGTGGAAAGCCAGTTCTTCACAGAGCTGGTGGGTCTTTGCCTGCTGCAAAGGCGTCTGTTGCCAGAACAGTTTGAAGGATAATATCCTACGGTCATCTTACTTGTGCTATTATTATTGGGTATTTCAAGTTCCTCAAGTTTGCCAGTCTGGGTTGGAAAATAACCCATTTCGCAAAAAAAATTGAACAAAGTAAGATTAGGGGAAAAAATAAGAGAGGAAAAAAATAGTAAAAGTAGAGGTAAGGAAAAAAGTCAATTGAATATCAGGTTATTCACAGAATCACAGAATGGCAAGGATTGGAAGGGACCTCAGGAGGTCATCTAGTCCAACCCTCCTGCTAAAGCAGGTTCACCCAGAGCAGGTTGCATTAAATATTGATTAAAGAGAGTTCATCTCCCCGTGCTGGTGCTTTGTGCAAGTGTATGATACACTTGTTCCTCAAGTAACAGCTTTCCAAATACACCATCAGCGTTACTTTAGAATTTTTATTCTTGTCAACAACATGTAATTAAATACAGAAGGCCCGAGGCTGGATAGAAGTCTTTGTCCAAAATATTGTCTACATTTTCCTTAAATTTGTACATTAGGGCTCTTCATCTGCTAAATGGTCCTTTACAGTAGTACCCATAACATGATAAAATGCCCTGAAAGGAGTGTATTGTGCATGTCTGAAGAAAAATAATTGTTAGTGAAATTTACAGAAAGGTATTCCCTGTTTACAAAAGCAGCAGGGGTTACTGGACCCTCAGGATCAGACACAGAAATGGCATCGCATGGACAAAACTGACCCAGACTAAATTGCGAATGCGTTACGTACTCTTGGCTTCCCTCACGTCAGATTGAGCTTTACATCACATTTACAAAAATATTTTTGCATACCTTTGTGAAAGTACAAGTGGAGTAATTCTGCACTTTCTTCTTCCTGTTCAGAACAACTTTGCTTCTCTCAAACCACAGAAACACTGCGTTTGCTCAAACAAGCTTTCCGAAGCCTCCCTCTGTGCCCAGGTTCAGTCTTAGTAACGTCTTTGGCAAAGTCCGTAACCCCGTGGCAATGGGGGGGCCTTTGGGGGAGCACCGCCACCTGCCCCAGGGGACCGCATTCGGCAGGCGCGGAGGTTCGCCCCGAGCGCAGCGTAACCTTTCCAACCTAGATGCCTGGGCTTCCGTGTCACAAAAACTACAGCCAAGGGGAAGAGGAGAGCCTGCATGCACCCGCGTCCTGTCAGGAGTGAGGACGTGGACGCATCCAGACAGAGGAACCAGCACCGTTCCAGCACCCGGCCTTACGGCCAAAGCTCGCTGTCCTTTGCCGTGATCCACGCCCGGCGGAATTAAGAGCTTGCAGCGTTTTGTCTCTTGGCAACGACAAGAACTTAGGGTCTTCTCAGCTAGGCTGTGGACTCGGTGGGGTGTTTGGCTACTGCTAGGAACGTGAAGGTTTCCAAGTCAAAAATAAACAGCAACCAACCTGTACTTAAATGCGTAACACAAAAAACAAGCTCAAAACTACGTGTTGTGTGTCTGGAGTCATGCTATATTATCTTTCTGGGCTTTTTTTGACTGCGTGACTTCTTACCGTATTTATTAAGTGGTTTTGCAGGGTACAATCTTTTGCTGATGAAGTGTCCTACTACTTTGTCTCTGTTTTTTTTTTTATCCTATAAACAATCTGAAGAACTTAGACACCTTAAAGCCTTTTATTTTTAGTTACTTTCTATACCTTATCTTTCAAAAGCCAAATCATGAGCCCTTTTATTTGTATCTTTAATACATACATAATATAAGGGAACGTTTGCAACTTGTCTGCCTTTCAGACTTGCTCCAGAAGAGAGGGAAAGCCCATTTCTACGTCATGGTGCTTACTCCGTACCAGCTAAGGACCAGCTCCAATGGCACCGGCTTATTCGGAGCACCTCACCTTCACCTGTATTGCAATTCCTTTCACACCATTTCGGACCAGACTCTGAATTAAGCACACGTGTACGTCTCTTGTCTAACTTGACCCGCGTGGGTTCTCCCGTCGCAATGAATGAAGCGTGCCATGGTAGCAAAGATGAACACACGCTTGCATCTTTGCAGCGCGTGGGCAAAAGAACTGAAATGAATGATGAAGTTCCACACCACGGTATTATGCAGTCACCGTGTTTGATGCCCGGTGCTATGCAAAAATAAAAGTGTCTTTCCGAGTTCAAAGTCTAATGAATGCACCTATCAAAAAAACCTGGTAGATGCATAACAAAAAAACTCAAGAGTATTAGAAGCTACAGGAGAGGAGCACTCTTCCCTTGAGAATGAAAGCCCCAGGCTCTGTACGGTGGGTGATCTCAGTCTTTGAAAGAGGGAGGCAGCTTACAGGAGAAAAATACATTTATTTTCGTAGTTCTGACTGGGCTCTTCCCTTTGCAACATGTTAAGTCCACCTGTCTTTCCTTTTGCGTGATTCATCTTAGTGTAAATTTGCATAAAATTTTGACCTTTTTTTCATCTAGATATGGCATTTAAGGCCAAGGTCTTTGCTTAGAGTGCTGTCCCTCCACAGCCTTTAAAGGAGAGAAGACAGCTAAAGAATTAGGTTCCTCCAAATACTGAAGATTACTTACAGTTTTTCACTTAGAGGTGAAACTTAGTTTCTACTGAAATAAGGCTACAAAGCGTTTTAGCTGCATCCTCTTAATTCACCATTTCAGAGCTGAAGGAAACATCACCAAATCATCAGTAGCCTGCAGTAATGGGGATATTTTTTGAACGATTTCCATGGCACAGCCTGTATTACCATCCTTAGGGAAAAGGCTGTCCCTGCAGCTCCTTCAGTCTTCTCAGCGATTCAGTAGAGAATGACAGCAGGAGCAAGTCACATACGCATGATGAAATACTCTGCCTACCATTATATGTTCGTCTGAGGCCAGTACATGAATAAACCATCTATTTTCTTTTGGAGTACACAGCTTTGAAAATTTAATATATTCCAGGAATAGCTTAAATTCAGATATTTTCCCTGACAGCAATGGCATTTGTTGGCATTGATAATACTTAAAAGTTGGGGGCGGGGAGTTGGTTGGTTGTTTTTAAACATTCACTTCTCACTTTAATATTTTCAGGTTTAAATTGAAATAATTGCCTATTTCTCCAGCATTAATTTTAAGAGTTAACTTCCCCCATATTAAAATACAATAGAAAAAAGCAAACGCATTATTACAAAATTATGGAAAAAGAAAAAAAAAAGAAAAAAAAAGTTTATTTCCAGATATACAAAACACCTATTCTCTCATTTCTCCATCTTCTTCCTCTTCTTCCACACCTCTGATGTACAAAACGTTATTACACCTGTAAATAGAAAGAGAGAGCTCTCTTAACTGTAGAGTGGTTTAATTTTAATAGGCTGCCGCAAGTATTTGCCTCCTCGAGCGTAACCTGGCAACAGCCAGATTCT